GAGTGCAATGGAGGGTAGCCGACTGGAGGAAGGACGTTCTTTACGGTTTTCTTTCTCAGCTTCGTAGAGGCCGCTAGGATCCCGGCTGATGACTTGATACATACCCTGATGATGTTAGCAGGAGCGGAGCGCTCACAGACGGAAGAAAGTTCGAATGCGATGAACAGACGTCAGCAGGATGAGGCCAATCCATGCACATGCAAAGTAATATGGTGAGAATGATGATGAACGTTGGGCTATGTTTTGGGGGCTAGGCGTTCATAGAGCGCCTGCCAGTGGCTCCCAAGCGAGTGAAGACGGAGATGAAGGCTGATGATTTGATAGAGTCTTCAGTTGCGGAGTGCAGTATATGTAATAACGGCAAGAGTTGGAAGTGTTTTAAGTGATGATAGGTACTATGGAGTTCGAGAAGGAGGATGCTGAAGATTCTAACTGTACTAGTCTACCCTGTGAGCACTTTTTCCATAGGGACTGTTTGGTACCTTGGTTGGAAAAGAGCGACTCCTGTCCAGTGTGTCGGTAGGTGGGGTTGTACCCGGGTGGTTCGTATGGAAGCATGGCCCTGTATCGTGTTGACTATAGAGGAGTAGGTACAAGTTACCGACGGACTCGGTGAAGTATCTGAGAGAGATAGGAGAGGATGCTGAGGCTGATAAAATTGAGGCCGAGCGTCGGCGACAGAACCCCCTTCATGCGTTCTTCTCGAGGAGACCCATGATGGGACGTGGGCCCGAGGCTGCTGCTGCTGCTGCCGTCGCCGCTGGCCCTTCCCACCCAGGCGTCCGTTGTGACAGCTGTGAGATGTCACCTATAATGGGCCGCAATAGGTGGAAGTGTGAGCAGTGTGAGGACTATGATCTGTGCGATGCTTGCTATCATTCCTTCATGGATGGTCAAAGGGATATACCTGAGCATGCTAGTAGAGGAACGCAGTTGCCGGAGGGACAAGGTGATTCTTATTCCAGAGGAGTATACAGCGGAGCGAAGGTCACTTATTTTCAGAGCATCATACGTTTCGGTTGATACGGAGTCCCGCTAGGATGATGACTGGTCGGGGAGAGGACGTCGGTGGTGAGGGAGGTAGTGGTTGGTCTCGTAGTAGTTTTGGGAGGTAGTGTTGTTGTGGCTTTTAAGGTCCTCGTATTATCACTCTGGACACGCTGCTTGGGTTAATACAGTCTGGGAATGTTGTGGTAGAGCATAGGACTGACGATGACGATGAGGATGACGATGAGGATGATGATGATGAGGATATGGACTTAAGTGAGAGCCACTGGACTACTGTTTGTGGTTATTGTTACTGTAGGTCCCCACTAGAGCACTGAGGTGTTTTACTATGATCGACTCCTGCAGCAGCTACTACTACCTTGTATCCCATTGGTAATGTTTTTGTCGCTGTCGGGATTGTACATTCAGAACACTCGGGCCTGTTGGCGGGTTACTCTCTTACTCATCAAATTGCCGCCTTGCCTCTCTAGATTTCTCCATGTACGAATCCTGGATGGATCCTACGAAAATTGCACAATTTCTGTCCCCCTCCTGTTATGGATGCAAAGGAGTGTGTGGTGGTTGATCGTTATGTATGATTATAACACCGTCGTTTACCCATGATCGAATCGTCTGTATGTGCTTGCAGTGGAAGTAGTAGCATCAGCAG